CGTTTCTTGCACTATTTACTTGATTGCATATCATGAGTGCTTGCATGTGGCCCATGACATGTTTTGGCTTAAATGAGTACTTGGAATTCGTATGCTGAACACCAACGTCTCCACCTCTGTGTACTGTTCATCTGGAGCAAATGGCTCCCCCACTGACTGTTTACTGTTTAATGTTTGTTTGGAGCGTTGGGTGTTTCAGTACAACGATTTCGCTGGCTCACGAGAGCAATAAATGTACAGTTGATCTTGAAATCATGACATCACTGAAATGAACGACTGTAAAACTGAATTGATTACTGGTTTTAATGGTTACTCGCTGAGCTTCTAGCTCACCCAAAAATGTTTTATTTCCCCCCCACAGGGCTCAAGGCGAAGAAAAGCTTGGAGTGCTTATTCACGTGACTGGATGGCTTATATCGTGTATAGTTTAAGTTTGGATCTATTTGATGTACGAGTTGGTCTTGTATAAATATTTGAAATTGATATGGATGTAAGTATACGTTCCACGATTGGAATCAGTTTCCGCTGCATTTGTAATATGTAATCATTGGAGAATTTGATGTAATTTTGAGGTTTATTCTTGTAATTCATTTGAGGATTGTAGTGAGCGACTGAGTCCCGGCGAGAGCTGGGCAGGCGGCCCGCCGAACCCTCTGGTTCGCCTTAGGGGGAGGTGGGGCCGTCACAAGTTGTCCTCCTCTGATTGGTTAATTGGTGGTAGTCCTTCCAATTGTTTATAAAAAATAGTGATGTGGCCAGGTTTGATTGGTCAATTGTGATCAAATTTGTCCTTTTTTTTTCTTCCCCTACAGATTTATTTTTTTGGCTATACTCGGGTGAATTGTTTTGTTTTTTTTTGCTTTGTTAGATGTTAGTGCAGTATTTTTAAAATTTTTATTATCGGAAAAAACACCTTTTTCTTCTACAATTAATTGTTCATTGGTTATTTGGGTCTTTTTTTTTGGCATCCAGCGAATTATATTAAAAAAAATTGTTTTTAAAATCTCCTTATGTAATTTATTGTTCGTGTTTATTTAATAATGGTGAAAAGATCATATTTAATTGGTGATCTCTTGCAGTAAAACGTATTGAAAAAATGTTCCGTTTAATTGCCATTTTTAAAATTCCGTTTTTTCCCTTGCTGATGTAAGCAACAAAATTGCTCTTTTTCTCTTTCGCGAAAATGCATCTATTTACCAATACTTTTCAGTTAATTGTTAATAGCTACTTAATAATGCCTTTCGTTTTTGCCATCAAATAGATAGTCTTTAATTAGCGATTTGTTGCTGTTGTTGGGAAAAAAACCTTTCTCCTAAAACAAAATGATTATCGATTTTTACAATTGATTATTAGCAATTAGTTATTGCCTAATTAGTGCCAGTATGTTGGGTTAACAAAATAGGTCCTTTTTCCTTTTGCTAGCGCCCATATTTACCTACTAATTTATCGCTGTTAATTGTTAGCAGTTGGTTAATTTTCGTTTCATTTATTCTATTGTCCAATAAAATTATGTTTACTTGTTGGTTTTTCCTTGTCATTTTATTTGTCATTGTTAATGGTTACTTAATTGGTTGTCCTGCCTTTTTACCTGTTATAAAAAAAACCTCTTTATTAATCTTTTCCTGACAAAAAAACTTCTTCCGTATATTTGCCTGAAAAGTTGCACTTGCCCGTTGCTTGCATCGATTTTAGAATCTATTTTCTGCCTCGGCTATCACTTCCGATTACTTTCATTTGGTGGACAGTTGTATTTGATTGACAAGTTAGGGCGTCTATTTTACAATATTACCCACCTTTGAATTTCAATCCGCTCTCTCTCTCTAATTGCGGTTCCTCTTTTTCTATTTCTTAATCAGGGTAATGTTTGTAAAAAAGCTATGCCGTCACTGTGGAGTCCTGTCAACAACCGCATTTCACCTTGCTCTCTTCAGGGAAAATCCGGTGCTTTACCTTTGCACAGTGGTTTTTAGCGTTGCCTGCCTTGCCCTAGCAGGACCTCGGCGGCTTACCATCATGATCGGTGGCCGATGTGCAGCTGCTGTGTCCTTTCTTCTAATCCTTTTCAGTTGTTCCTTCGGTCGACGCAAAAAAGGTGCCCCATCAACTTGCTTCTTCTCTTGCTCTCCCTTTTTCTAGACTTTCTCGCTGCTAATCTTCTCAATTTGTTTTAGCTTGCAAAGCTGCTGTTGCTGGTGTGTTGCTGGTGAGTGTCTAGCTCGGACCCCATTTGCTGTGTTTTTTCCCCAAAAATACTCAGCTTATTACCTTGTTATTTTTCTTCATTCATCCGCTCCATTCTTTTCTCGCGCATTGGTTTAATTTCCTGCATTTGTTTCGTCTTGCAGAGCTCCTCTTGCTGCTGTGTTGCTGGTAAATTTCTTCCTCCAACCTCATTTTACTTATTCCCTCCGCATTTGTTGTGTTTTTCTTTCCATAAATTAAAAGCTTATTCCCTTGCTATTTTTCCTCCTTCACCCGCTTCTTTCTTTTCTCACTCACCTGTTTAATGATTGTTTAATGAACCAATCCAGTTTATTGAAACTAAGATACTCCTGGCACAACTTGCATTGGACAACTACTGTTTCTGATGTACTTTTCGACGGGCTTGGAAGGAAATCTCATTCTAACTGATTTGGGTAACTTTTCTATATCAATAGTTATGGTACAAAATCAAAGAGGGTTGCTGTATACACCAATCAATGACCTATAACAGTTTTTTCTGAGGCAATGGGTACAAGGTTCCCGACCAGGATGGGCATGTAGATTCAGTAATGGATGTTGGGAGTCAGACAATTAAAGAATGATAGGATGGAGATAAAGGGCTTTGAGTTGCAGTGTTAGAGATGGGATAGTTTACCTATATTTTCCTCCTCTTGTTCAGATTCATGTGCTCCTTTTTATGTATAACGGTATTTAGGTTAGACATCTTGCAGCACTGCTTCTAAGGAATGCCCCTTGATTTTGTTTCCTCATTATATACTTGCGGTCTTCACTAGAAACTTCTCTTTCTGACTGCTCCCTCAGAACAGCACTTATACCCCTACAAGAGTGCCAACTCCAGCTTCGCATTTGCACTCACAATGTTTTTGTTCTCTCTTTTGCCTGAGAAAAGAACATGTTTTATGATTGGTAGAATCAATTACGAAGTCAGGAAACTGCACTGCATTAATTATTTGCATCTCATCAATTTCCCAGTCCATCAGGTACCTCAGAACAGCACTTATACCCCTACAAGAGTGCCAACTCCAACTTCACATTTGCACTCACAATGTTTTTGTTCTCTCTTTTGACTGAGAAAAGAGCATGTTTTATGATTGGTAGAATAAATTACGAAGTCAGGAAACTGCACTGCATTAATTATTTGCATCTCATCGATTTCCCAGTCCATCAGGTACCTCGTAAACTTGGGTGTTTGATAACCCCATTAAGTACTTGACGAATTAAGTGCTTATGCTATTAAGTTTGTTTGGTAACAGAATTCTCCTATCTCTGAGTACATTGAGGGCCACTTAGCTTGTGTACAAAATTTAAAGTTAAAGTTTTATCACTTCATTTGTTTAATTTTTATAAACTTACACTTTCATGTACACACCTTACATACATATACACACACAGTTTCAAACATACACTTCTCTCTCTCTCTCTTTCGCTATTTCTCTCTCTCTCCCTCTCCCTCTCCTGCACAGAAATACATATTTTTCGCTAACGCACACTTAAAACATAATCTTTCTTGTACAAACACAAGAACTACATCTTTCTTTGCTCAAACATGGAGTATTGCACAAAACGCATTCTCTCTCACACATACACAAGCACACTTTCCATCTTAGTAGTTTATCAGTGTTAAAAGGTGATACTTAAAAGGTGGCCCATCAGCTTGCTTCTTCTCTTGCTCTCGCTTTTTCTAGACTTTCTCGTTGCTAATTTTCTCAAATTGTTTTAGCTTGCAAAGCTGCCATTGCTGGTGTGTTGCTGGTGAGTGTCTAGCTCCAACCCCATTTGCTGTGTTTTTTTCCCAAAAAATACTCAGCTTATTACCTTGTTATTTTCCCTCATTCATCCGCTCCTTTCTTTTCTCACGCATTGGTTTAATTTCCTGCATTTGTTTCATCTTACAGAGCTCCTCTTGCTGCTGTGTTGCTGGTAAGTTTCTTCCTCCAAGCTCATTTTGCTTATTCCCTCGGCATTTGTTGTGTTTTTCTTTCCAAAAATTAAAAGCTTATTCCCTTGCTATTTTTTCTCCTTCACCCGATTCTTTCTTTTCTCACGCATCTGTTTAATTTCCTGCGTTTGTTTCATCTTGTAGAGCTCATCTTGCTGCTGTGTTTCTGGTAAGTGTCTTGCTCCAAACTCATATTACTTATTCTCTCTACCATTGTTGACGTTTTCCCACGAAAAAAATAGCTTATTACCTTGTTATTTAACCCATTAAGTTCTTTAATTACTCTCCATCCTATTAATGCGAGTTATTTTCTCTTGTTCTCTTTCTTCTCTTTTTTAGCTCTTGTCTGCTCGATTTTATTGTGGTGTCGTTGCTCTTCTTTGCTTCTGCCCTGTCCAGTTTCTGTAGCCAGACAGGTTGGTGCTTCTGCTTCTTCCCTGTTCCCTCTTTCTTTTATATCTTGCACTTTAAATTCCATCCCCATTTCTTGTATTCTCTACTATGCCGTTGGTTGCACCTTGTTTGCATCTCGCTTCTTTAACTTCTGAATTGCCGGGACTTAGTTACTTCTTCCCAGGACTTTTGAATGACTATTTACCCTAACAAGGAGTTATTCATCTCCTGTTCTTGTACTATTACATTTAATGAATAAAACTTACATGCATCCTTGCATTGCATACTCAGCTGCCCTTGGTTACTTACTTTATGCATCTATTTCATTTTTTCTGATTTTTGTTGCTATTAAATTTTGTATCTTTCTGCTCATTACTTGCTCAATAACTATAGCTTGGTATTTTACAAGCCCTTTGCTATTGTACGCTCTAGACAATTAAAGTGAATGGGTAGAAGTTCTACTCGCCGCAAAAGGTATGCAGAAATGCCAGACATAGAGAAAAATGACCTTCTACGTCGTCGAAGAGAAGCTAGGGCCGTCAAGAAGAAAGAAAAGAGTTTTCCCTCGCGTATTCGCAAGGTTCCACTTGGTTATGTGGAAACAGGTGTTTCTTTCCCTGAAACACTTGCTGTCCCATGCGATAGTGGAAACCAACCTCTTATGCATGGCCAAATGTTAGAAACAGGGGGTTTTAAGGACGGCCATGATAGCACCGATGTTATTGCTGAAGCGTTACAGTACATGTCATCTCATGAATCTGCTTCCGGTTGTCTCCATGGTCATTCTACTTCCCCTACTAGGGAAATGCATTCTTCACCAGCAACGGGTATACTAGGAGGTACTGTTAGTGTTACCAATTCCTGACCTTTTCTTCATGTCCATTTCCTCCTTTAGAGATCGTCTTTGCTCTCTTCTCCACGGATTGACCCTTCCGTGTTGTTGTTCTGTACGAGTAAAAAAATAAAGCTTATTTTCCGCCCTGCAGAACATCCGCTCGCTGGTACGCCTAATCTTAGGAGCTGTCCACCTACACCCCTCCATGGGAAAAGGAAAATCTTAGGCTCTCATTCTCTTACTACTACGCCTGAACTTCATCTATTTAACAAAAAGAATAGGCGCTCTGCCTCTGTATCAGTTATTGATGACCTAACAGATTCTCTGAAAACTCCTTACTGTGACAAAGAGCTCTTGCCTATGAACACTCTTTTTGAAAATGTAGTTCAGTATTGTCCTTTTACTGGATTTTCCATGAATTCTGATAAACTTTCTTCCCCTCTTCGTGAGTGCCAGAGTTCTGGAAAAAAAACTGCTTACTCTGAACCTCTTGTGTTACCTCACCAAACAAGCAGCTTTCCTCTTCTGTATGCCGGAGCCAGGCACCGCTTTTGCACTGACAAACAAGTCTTACCTGATAATGAGCTTTTTGAAAATATTGTTAAGTTCTCTCCTTTGCCTGATTCTTACAATGACTTTGAAAGAAATCAGTCTGCTTTAAATGATGTCCATAGAGAATTATATCTGCAAAATGAAACACCTATCTCTGAGAAACACTCTTCTGCACCAGCTTCTACTTCTCAAGGTATATATTCTATTGCCTTTTTCCGTGTGATTGTCGATACTTCTACGGCTGCCCTGTCCGCTTAGATCCTCTACAAAAACATTGTATTTGTCAGTTCTATTTGGATGGGCCTTTCATAGTTTCCTCGCTTTGCTGACTGTCCGCGGTCAAATGCTTCTGCATTTTTTTATTCAGCTTATTTCTTTGTATAGTTACAGAAATCCCTTCTGTTCGAGCTAGAACGTCTAACAAGTCTGCCAAAAAAACCCGTGTTCAAGGGAAAAAGGGTCACCATCGTAGTTCTTCTGCCCTTCTATCTAAAGATCAGCCTTCTGGTCAAAATCATGGTTCTCATGGACGTGTCAGGAAGCAGGCTCCCGGTTGGCTTTTTAATTCTTCTTCACTTTGTATATCTCGCCAGCTTATGTTATTAATTGGATTAATAAAGTTCCGTTCTCACCTATAGTTTGGAATTAAATGCAGCTAGACCTCGCAGAGGTCGTCAACAGGGTCTTTTCCAGCTTGATGAGATCCCTCATGAAGCCACTACCCTTCCAAATGTTCCTAATTGTGAACACTGTGGAGCTAAAACGTTCTATTTGGAACCTCCTAGCTTTTGTTGTTCTGGCGGAGAGATCTCTTTAGTTATTCCAGCAATGCCTTATGATCTTAAGCGCTTGTTTATTGGAAATGATGAAGAAAGCACTCACTTTAGAAACAATGTTCGAACCTACAATAATAACCTGGGATTTACGTCCTTTGCTGCAAGATATGACCCAGAATTGACCAAAAATACGAAAGGTGTTTATACTTTTCGTATTCAAGGCCAAGTCTATCACTTCCTCAACGGTTTGACGCAGTCAACCGACAAACCATCTGGAATTCAATTCTACTTCTTTGACACTGATGAAGAATTAGCAAAGAGAACTGGAAACTCTGAAAAGTTGCGCGAAGGCACTTTAAAATTGCTTATGCGCATACTTTTGAACAATCCTTACGCCAAATTCTTTAAAAGTCTCAGGGATATACCAAACCTTGATAGCTATAGGATCGTTCTTAACTGTTACCCTGGTTTAGACCAGCGCGTCTATAACCTGCCATCTACCTCGCAAGTTGCTGCTATATGGACTGAAGATGAAAATGAAACTGTAGACAGGAGTGCTCATATTCAGGTTTACACTCACTCGCATACCAGCCATAGAATTAATCATTGCTATGGCTGTTATGACCCTTTACAGTATCCTATTCTTTTTCCTCGAGGTGAATGTGGATGGCACCATGGTATTAAGAGACTATATAAGAGGAAAAGAAATGTGGACTGCTGTGAAGGCGATTCTAATGTTGACCCTTCTTCTGTTAGCGACCCTTCACACTTAATAGACTTAGAGCGCAGAGGCAAGTAAATCACTTACTGAATCTACGCTATTAAATATTCACCTTATAGCATTTTCTTCATCGAGAAAATATTTCTGTCTTATATAGCTGTTGATCGAGGGAAGCGCGAGGGAGACACGGTGTCAGCTAGAGAGTATTATTGCTACAGATTTCAAATAAGAGATGATGATGAATCAATGTTATTGCACTGCCTTAGGCTTCTACAACAATTTTCTGTTGATTCTTATGTGAAGATAGAGACTTCAAGGTTGGACTTCCATAGGCATCAACAAAATGTGATAAGATCGGAGATCCTCCAAGGTGTCTTGGACAGTGTTTCTATAGGGCAGTCCGAGGGGTCTAAAGTCGGTCGGAAGATTGTTCTCCCATCCTCTTTTATAGGTGGTCCGAGAGACATGAGACGCCGGTATCTTGATGCAATGGCGCTCGTTCAGAAATATGGTAAACCTGATCTTTTCCTTACCATGACCTGCAATCCAGCATGGAAAGAAATTCAGGACAATCTAAAGTATCATGAAAAGCCACAGGATAGACCAGATCTTCTAGCCAGGGTTTTTAGAGCTAAATTTGAGATGCTCAAATCTGAAATTTTGAATAAACAGATTTTTGGTGAGGTCGCAGCATGTGTCCATGTTATTGAGTTTCAAAAGCGCGGATTTCCTCATGCTCATTTACTCCTGATCTTAAAACCTCAGTCCAAGCTGCTTAATCCAGAATCATATGATAGGGTGGTGTGTGCGGAGTTGCCCGATCGTGCTCGCTACCCTCACTTATACAATCTTGTTGTCAAACATATGATCCACGGCCCCTGTGGAACTATGGATAAAACTTGTCCTTGTATGAGAGACGGTACCTGCAAAAGCCACTATCCTAAAGATTTCTGTCCGCATACAATTCATGCTGAAGATGGTTATCCACATTATAGAAGAAGGGACGATGGCAGAAAAATAAGGGTCCGAAGGTTTACTCTCGATAATAGGTGGGTTGTCCCTTACAACCCATACCTCCTTGCTTTGTTTGATTGCCATATAAACGTCGAGATCTGTTCTACTATAAAACTGGTGAAATACTTGTACAAGTATGTGTTTAAAGGTCATGATCAGGCCTCCTTTAAGATTGTGACTGATGGCGGTCCTCCTGATATTGATGAAATTAATGAGTTTCAAAAGGGCAGATATATTTCGGCTCCCGAAGCTTTTTGGCGTATCTATGAATTCCATCTAAATGAGATGACTCCATCTGTTTATACACTCCAAGTTCATCTTCCGAATCAGCAGTTCGTTTCCTTTGATAAAAACTCAGATCTCTTGCTGTTATTAGCCAAGGCTGATTTTTCGAAAACTATGTTAACTGAGTTTTTCAAAATGAATGCAACAAATGCAGTCGCTGAAAATCTTAAATGCTTCTATAGAGATTTCCCTCAGCATTTCGTTTGGACTCCGAAGTACAAACACTGGACAGAAAGGAAACGTCGAAAAGTGATAGGTAGACTTGTCAGTGTTAGTCCAACTGAGGGAGAGCGGTATTATCTGCGCCTTCTCTTAACTCATGTTCTTGGGCCAACCTCGTTTGATGACCTCTTAACTGTGAACGGCAAAAAAATGAACTCGTTTAGAGATGCTGCTTTTGCACTTGGTCTATTACATTCTGATTCGTATATAGAAGAGACACTTGAAGAAGCTGTTGCTTTCCAGATGCCATCTTCGCTCAGGCTTTTATTTGCCACTCTTCTGGTATATTGTTCTCCAACTAATCCAAAAGTGTTATGGGACAAGTTCGAACCAGATTTCTCTAGAGATTATGAAAGACAGCAGCAATACCATCCATGCTCTCCCGAAGAAATTAGGGGCCTTGTTCTGACTGACATTAACAGATTGCTTGGGCAGATGGGTAAAAATCTTACTGACTACCAATTGGTACCACGCGAACTCATGAGTACATATACAACGTGCTTGACAAAGGAAGTTGAGTACGAGAGAAACATCAGCATACTGCCGGAGGATATATTATTGGCTTCCAAATTAAATTCTGAGCAGAAATATGCTTATGATTTAATCTTGGAAGCATGTTTCTCTTCTCGTGGCCATTCTTTCTTTATTGATGGCCCGGGGGGTACCGGTAAGACATTTTTGTACCGGTCACTACTCGCTACTCTGAGATCACAGGGTCATATCGCCATCGCTGTGGCGACATCTGGAATTGCAGCTTCTATCCTACCTGGAGGAAGAACTGCACATTCAAGATTTAAAATACTCCTTGATTTTTCAAAGAGTAAAACTTGCCAACTTAGCAAGCAGGGTAGCGCTGCAAAGCTGTTGTCTGAATCCAAATTGATCCTGTGGGATGAGGCTTCAATGGCCAGACGAGAAACTATTGAAGCATTTAATGATTTATTGAGCGATATTATGGAATCTAGCCTGCCTTTCGGAGGCAAGGTTGTCGTTTTTGGTGGAGATTTTCGACAAACACTGCCTGTAATTGAGCAGTCAACAAAAGAAGTCCTTTTGCAGTCATGCTTACTTAATTCTCCTATATGGCCTGAACTTCATAAGTTGAAGCTGTCGGAAAACATGCGAGCTATATTAGATCCTCAGTTTTCAGAATTCTTGTTGAGTGTGGGCGAGGGAAAGGAACCTGTTGACCTGAATAGCGAAATAACTCTCCCCACAGATTTAGTCATTCCTTATTATGATAAAGAATAGTCCCTGAACAGGTTAGATAATACACTTTTAAGCTATCTTAGCTGCCTACCTTATACCTTTATAGTTTCTAACTTAGTTCTTCTATTAACAGGTTAATAAGTTATGTTTTCCCAGATTTAACTCTCTATTCTCGGGATCCTTATAGTATGATCTGTAGGTGTATTCTTACTCCTAAAAACAGTTCAGTTGATGAGCTAAATGATATCCTAATTAGGAGGTTCCCTGGAAAGCTCTATACCTACACTAGCACGGACAGAACTGTTGACCAGCGTCACCAGGGTGATTATGAGGATTTTCTTAAATCTCAAAATCCAAAAGGCCTTCCTCCTCACAAGTTAATGCTAAAGGAAAACTGTCCAATTATATTGATGAGGAATCTTAATCCTCTAGAAGGCCTCTGTAATGGTACTAGACTCATATGTAGAGAGCTTGGCCATCACACTATTTCTGCTGAGATTGTTTTTGGCCAACATCAAGGCAAGATTATCCTGATTCCAAAAATGCCTCTACAAACTCCTGATAATGAGAGGAATGGCGTTGCCTTCGTAAGAACACAGTTTCCAGTCCGCCTTTGCTTTGCATTGACCATCAACAAGTCCCAAGGACAAACTCTCGACTATGTTGGCATTTATTTACGTGAACCTATTTTTTCTCATGGTCAACTCTATGTAGCTCTGTCCAGAGCCAGAACCTCATCTGCACTCAAAATTCTCATTGTTCCGGGGACCTTTGAGGGTACAAAAATAGACTGCAAAACTAGAAATGTTGTATTCAATGAAGTTTTCCAGTTCAGTTAAATGTATATCTATCTTACATTCAGGTATATCTAGATAACCCCATCCCTTAGCTTACTTGTTCATGCGATTTCATCCATATCCAACTTTCCAGATTACAAATCTTTTGCCTTCTTTTTTTTTTTTTGGCAGAATGGCTGGCGTACTACCAATCAGAAATATCACTCCTAACATGAAAAATTGGTGTTGTCTTGTAACTATTCAAGAAAAGCAACAAGTTACTGATTCAATGGGGACACCAACCAAGAAACAAAAAATGATCTTCTATGACTCGGAGGTATTGTTTTAGAACACCTTTTCCAGACATAGCACTTCTTCGATCTTGCACTCACTTTAATGAACTCTTTCAATTAATCTTCTTAACAGGGTTCTAGAGTAGAAGGCATCATTTTCAATGCTGACATTCCTAAGATGAGCCCTATTCTTCAAGTTTACAAAAAGCACAGGATCTCAAATGCTGATGTCAGAAATATTCCAGAAAAATTTCAGACATCTGGCTTGACTATGCAATGGGTGATAACTGCTAGGACTGTTATTGAAGAAGTTAGCAGAGAAGAGGACATCATGCCTGTTAAATTTTCCTTCACAGAGTTTGCAGATTTAGCTCAATATATGGATGACAAAAGCAAATCTGTGGGTAAGTTTTAGCTACCTTTGAAGTGCAAGTTCGGCCTAATCAAACTTATCCTTACTTTTCTGAGGTGCCTTTGATGTCTCATAGATGTTCTCGGAGTTGTAATTAGTTCGTTGGACAAGAAAACGATAAGTAAGAGCACCAAACAGTCATGTGTTCAAAAATTTGTCCTCCTTAATGAAGAGTAAGCGTCATCTTTTTATAATCCTATCACTCCTTTTTACTAGATCTAGCTTGCTATTTTTGTCATCCTCTTTGTTTCTTTGAATGCTGACTTATGTATCAATGTCAATACTAGGTCTCAAACAGTGATGCTATCTTTGTGGGATAACTTCTTGAACAATGAAGGACAGATTTTATTGAATAACATTCAGACCTATCCTGTTGTTATCGGCCGAAGATTGAAAGTTAACAACTATAATGGTTCGGTGAAATGCTGCCCTTCTGTGTGATAACATTTATTTACTTATTAAAATGCTTGCAAATCATCCCTGAAATCTTTTGCTGTCTATTTATCTTCTAGGAGTTTCGCTGTCTACCTGGTTCGATTCTGCAGTCCTTGTTGACCCGCCCATACAGGAAGCAAGGGAGTTGAAAAATTGGTTCAGTGCCTTTTCCTTTGCTTCTTTCATAAACATACAATATACCCTGTTCTCATTTCGTTTTCCTTATTCTCTTATTTCATCGTTCTTTCTGTAGGGCAATGAGAAATACTAAGTTAATTGCGCAGCTCATTGAAACAAAGGCTTACATTAAATACAATCCTGAGCTCTTTCTGAAAGCTGACCAGAAGACTACTTTAATTTGTAATGTTTCTCTGTCGCAGAAGGTGCTGAGACTCTCTTGCTATTTATCCACTTTTCTTAAAATTCCTCATGCATATTTAGCTTTTGATCTCATTCCTCGTTACCTTTTAGACTGCACTGGTCAAGGCAAATATCTCTTTTGAAGACATTTTCCAGAAATATTGGTATATGAGCTGTGGAAAATGTAACCGTGCTACTGCAGCAGACTATGGCATTGAGTTTACCTGCAATTCATGCAAAGAAAAGAGCCCTGCTGTGCCCAGGTGCTATATTATTAAATCATCAGCATTAAAATTACTTGTAAATTGTACATGATTACGCCATGCTTAAATCGGTTACCTAATGCACTATATGTTTACTTTTCAGATGCCGATTCGACATTGATTTAAGTGATGGCAGTGGAGTTATACCAGCCTCCATCTTTGGAGACCTGGCAGAGAAACTTCTCACATTCACCGCACTTGAAGCAATGGATCATTTTAACCAGGTAATTTTAAATTCCTATCATTGTTAATGAAACCAGCATTCTATTCCCAATTCTCATTCTTTTTTTGCGTTGCCTGTAGAATCGCGAACTTCCTCTTGAGTTTGTTCACAGTAGCCTGAAAACAAAGACATTTCTGCTTCATATTAAACCAGTCCAAGCTCAATTAGCGGATGCTAGGCAGCGTTATACCGTTTTGCATTATTCTGAACTTGGACAAGAGATTGATTCTGCTCAGTTAATTGGCCAACCAGATGCTTTGCCTATCTCAGCTGAACACAGAGCTCAGACTGCTCAGCTGCTGACTCCAGGTTGGCCACCATAGCTAAAATTTTATCAAATAGCTTCATATCTTACCAGCATATTTAGCCAATCTTTATTCTTGTAGGGGAGAGTAGCTCTGGTTCAAAGACTCGCCTCCGCCTTGCTGATAAGTTTGATGAAGCAGAAACTACTGCCATTGATGACTTTGCAACTGCTACTGACAATTGCAGCAAAAGGACAAAATTAGGCTGAAACACCTTTATCCCCTTTTGGCTGCTGGAAATTGGATATTTTTTGCCCATTTCATCTGCACTTCTATATGCAAAACAGATATAACTATAAACCTTTTGTCTTCTGTAAATGGTAATCTATTAAACAACTTTTGCATCATCATTTAACATTGATGATTGCTTTTGTATCAGTGTTCGTGCCAGCCGTCCAAAGATGAACTGCAATCTTCAATCCTGAATAGCGGGGAGATTTTTGCAGAAATCTTTGGATTCCTTGCAAGAAACTTACTTTGTGCATCCTGTCAACTTTAAGATTTATATAATTTGAAGTGCTTTTCTATTCCTTTTCCCTTTTTTTATGCAAATATTCCATCGATTCTTTAAGCCTCCAGTTATGTATATACAGTTCCTTTGTTATTGCACCTGCCAGCTTCTTGGCTACATACACGTTATACATGCAAGTCCTATTGCTCCTATGTGTATTGATTCCTTGACTGCATATATGACAGACATGACAAACATATGTCTATTTATGAGTTCCCTTCAACCAATTAAACAGTGCAAGCCGAGGTGGATGTTAACTATATATTGTGGCCTTTTCATGCTGAATGGTCTTTTCATGTGTTGAATGGTCCCCTGCCTAATAAATACCATTGAATGGTCTTTTTTATTAATTGTTCTTTACCATCCTCTACTGCAATCAATAAATTTCTTCACTTATGATGGAAAACAGGTCTGCGCTCGGCATTAAAAACACCAGCAAAGGTGTTTGTCTGTGCTTTTAAATCTTCATAAACTGAAGCTGCCTTGCATTCGCATACTTTCTTCAATTGATGCCTTCTTTTTCTCCACTTCTTGAACCTTTCTTCTATTAGTTCAATGTCAGAAACAAGCTGCACAACAGCACCAGACCTTCATCTCGCTAATAACAATTTAACAGCTTGTTGTTTTCTTCTCAAATGCATCCATAGAGGACAGGTTCAACCTTTCTTTATGCACATCTAAATGATCTAATTTAAATGTTTACAGCAGACTTTATCAACGTTATTTATATTCTTCTTGTTATCCAGATATTTCCTTCTCAATTCGAATTATTACTTGCTCAACATCGATCCAGCACAATTAGTCTCAGAATTGGACTGCAACAATGGCCTATAATGGTCACTGACCATTCATTTGGAGATGGCTGGGATGCTTTCTGCGAACACAATAGCATTAAAAGACATGACATGCTATTACTTCGCCATATTGGGAGTCTAATATTTGACATTATTCATTTTTCTGAACTACAGACCCAGGCTTACATGCGCTGGACAGCTCCCCTGCCAAATCTTTTGCAGACAAGCTTTTCTCCTTTACAAGGTTCAAACACCATACTACCTATCATATATTCTAATATATACAATATATTACTTCTAATTCGGTTCATGCTTCGTAATTATTGTGAATAACTATTCAGGCGGTAGGCAACAGCATGTAGCTTCCTCAATGCAACCGGATCTCTATCAGAATTTATCAGCTTCTGTGTGCTTTTACCAAAATTTCCATTCAGCAACTCCGGACAGCTTGGTAAAAAAAAACCGCCCATATCTTCATTCTTTTAATCTCTTTTCAAAAAACCTTCTTCTCTTTCTGCATACATTCTAATTTAAATCAATTACTACCAGCAAATCCCGCGCTTTGTTGATCATTTCGTAAATCACGAGAGAACTCCCACGTTGCTTATCAAAACTGGATATAGAACCACTCAGATTGGTGTCAAGCATTGCCGCCTTCAACGTAATTGGA